TATCTATCAATCATTACTATAAATAGTAAACAATCCACATGTTATCTATCAGTCATTACTATAAATAGTAAACAATCCACATGTTATCTATCAGTCATTACTATAAATAGTAAACAATCCACATGTTATCTTTCAGTCATTACTATAAATAGTAAACAATCATGTCTTTCAGTCCTTACTATAAATAGTAAACAATCCACATGTTATCTATCAATCATTACTATAAATAGTAAACAATCCACATGTTATCTTTCAGTCCTTACTATAAATAGTAAACAATCCACATGTTATCTATCAATCATTACTATAAATAGTAAACAATCCACATGTTATCTATCAGTCATTACTATAAATAGTAAACAATCCACATGTTATCTTTCAGTCATTACTATAAATAGTAAACAATCCACATGTTATCTTTCAGTCCTTACTATAAATAGTAAACAATCCACATGTTATCTATCAATCATTACTATAAATAGTAAACAATCCACATGTTATCTATCAATCATTACTATAAATAGTAAACAATCCACATGTTATCTTTCAGTCATTACTATAAATAGTAAACAATCCACATGTTATCTATCAGTCATTACTATAAATAGTAAACAATCCACATGTTATCTATCAGTCATTACTATAAATAGTAAACAGTCCACATGTTATCTTTCAGTCATTACTATAAATAGTAAACAATCCACATGTTATCTTTCAGTCATTACTATAAATAGTAAACAATCCACATGTTATCTATCAGTCCTTGCTATAAATAGTAAACAATCCACATGTTATCTATCAGTCCTTACTATAAATAGTAAACAATCCACATGTTATCTATCAGTCCTTACTATAAATAGTAAACAATCCACATGTTATCTATCAGTCATTACTATAAATAGTAAACAATCCACGTGTTATCTATCAGTCCTTACTATAAATAGTAAACAATCCACATGTTATCTATCAGTCATTACTATAAATAGTAAACAATCCACATGTTATCTATCAGTCATTACTATAAATAGTAAACAATCCACATGTTATCTATCAGTCATTACTATAAATAGTAAAACAATCCACATGTTATCTATCAGTCATTACTATAAATAGTAAACAATCCACATGTTATCTATCAGTCATTACTATAAATAGTAAACAATCCACATGTTATCTATCAGTCATTACTATAAATAGTAAACAATCCACATGTTATCTATCAGTCATTACTATAAATAGTAAACAATCCACATGTTATTTATCAGTCATTACTATAAATAGTAAACAATCCACATGTTATCTATCAGTCATTACTATAAATAGTAAACAACCCACATGTTATCTATCAGTCATTACTATAAATAGTAAACAACCCACATGTTATCTATCAGTCATTACTATAAATAGTAAACAACCCACATGTTATCTATCAGTCATTACTATAAATAGTAAACAGTCCACATGTTATCTTTCAGTCATTACTATAAATAGTAAACAGTCCACATGTTATCTTTCAGTCATTACTATAAATAGTAAACAATCCACATGTTATCTATCAGTCCTTGCTATAAATAGTAAACAATCCACATGTTATCTATCAGTCCTTGCTATAAATAGTAAACAATCCACATGTTATCTATCAGTCCTTACTATAAATAGTAAACAATCCACATGTTATCTATCAGTCATTACTATAAATAGTAAACAATCCACGTGTTATCTATCAGTCCTTACTATAAATAGTAAACAATCCACGTGTTATCTATCAGTCATTACTATAAATAGTAAACAATCCACATGTTATCTATCAGTCATTACTATAAATAGTAAACAATCCACATGTTATCTATCAGTCATTACTATAAATAGTAAACAATCCACATGTTATCTATCAGTCATTACTATAAATAGTAAACAATCCACATGTTATCTATCAGTCATTACTATAAATAGTAAACAATCCACATGTTATCTATCAGTCATTACTATAAATAGTAAACAATCCACATGTTATCTATCAGTCATTACTATAAATAGTAAACAACCCACATGTTATCTATCAGTCATTACTATAAATAGTAAACAACCCACATGTTATCTATCAGTCATTACTATAAATAGTAAACAACCCACATGTTATCTATCAGTCATTACTATAAATAGTAAACAACCCACATGTTATCTATCAGTCATTACTATAAATAGTAAACAACCCACATGTTATCTATCAGTCATTACTATAAATAGTAAACAATCCACATGTTATCTATCAGTTCTTACTATAAATAGTAAACAATCCACATGTTATCTATCAGTCCTTACTATAAATAGTAAACAATCCACATGTTATCTTTCAGTCATTACTATAAATAGTAAACAATCCACATGTTATCTATCAGTCATTACTATAAATAGTAAACAATCCACATGTTATCTATCAGTCATTACTATAAATAGTAAACAATCCACATGTTATCTATCAGTCATTACTATAAATAGTAAACAATCCACGTTATCTTTCAGTCCTTACTATAAATAGTAAACAACATTTATCCTACATTGTGACAGAAAGTAACAAATCAACCCATAATCGTAAATCATGACACAATGATTAATGAAATGATGCCAAATCTCCTACCTTTTTCTCTTCACTTTAGCATGTGGCCATAAATTCTACATTGATAATTTAAAATATTTAATTTGGCATCATTTTCCTGTATCATGCATTCATTAATGTAATTTTTTGTTTTTAATGAATGTCTCCTCCTCTCTCCACAGATCCTATCAGGCACAAAGGTGACACATTCCTGTTCTTTTATTTTCTTCAATCCTGGTTGGTATTGCTTGAAATTCTCATGCAAGCACACGCCCTGGAAGACCCAGGGCACGGCAGAACAAACTACAGACAGTCAGCATGCTACTAAAGACAGTAGAATGACAGATAAGGGTGCTGATAGCAGGAATGCTGTTTTAACGAGAAGGAAGACAGACTGGGTGTGTTCTATGCCTGTCAAGTTTGAGATTGTCGGTCATGGAACATTTTGAAGTATAAATCGGGTGAACATGTGTCCTGCCATGTGTCCTGTTTTCACCAGGACAGCCCTATGTTATTAGATATGTCCCGGTCGCCCCATCGAAATGCTAGAAAAATTGGAGTTATTAGTTTTATACAAATCTGGGTATAAGCTCGAGAATACTGCATAGTAAAAGTTTTGTCTCTGGGGTGTTATTAGATTTCATAGCTTTAGATACTTTTTTATTGCTCAAATGTGTTGATGGAATTCTCACTGTAGCATTTATTTGTGCAGCGCGGTTGAGGAGCATATTGTTTTCTTGATTTCTTGGCAATAATGTTTAGAGTTGGAATAGAACCATTGTGAGTCATTAGCCCTTTCACCTGTGTGACCTAGAAAAAAAATGGGGTAGGGGTGTAGAGTTAAACTGACTTGCTTGAAAGAGTCTGCTTTTCAGGTCAAAATATCAGTCAAATATCCCGTTTTCAGCTGAAGACTTTTGGTCACCTTAAGTTTATATGACAGGACACAACTTGTTGAGTCAGTTCCTCAGGCTTATGACACCTGCTCCGGTCTGCTTCGCTGTGAAGAGGGAGGTAAAATGCAGATGGCAAAGTCAGTCAGTGGTTTGTGGTTCTTTGTTGTAGTGATGATGAACAGCAGTGAAAGGGGAAAGGTACAATAATGTATTGCAACAAAAGACCTCATGACAAGGAGCTGAAGATAATCATATTATATATAAGGGATTGAAGAGGAAATTCTATTTTATTTTACAACAGTAGAGGATACGATAATGTATTTTTGTGCACAGATATATGAGAGAGAAGGGTAAATAGCACATGTTTACATTTATGTGCGCTGACAAATATACACAGAGAGCAAGAATAGAATAACAGATGTTACAAATGTAAATATATGCATGTGAATATGAACACCAAAAGAACACTGTTTAACACAATGTTTTTACCAACGCTCTGCTGTCAGTGTCAAACACTATCTTCAGAAGACAGAAGGGAAATAGTCACGACAGAAATAAAATATTTACCTACTGTGCTCGGTGTAATGGAGAAAGATCGACTTAGGAATGATGATATCAGGAGGAGAATTGGCACATAACCAATACTGAACTTTATAGGTAGATGACAAATCAAATGGTTTGGCCATGTAACAAGATTGGCAGCAGACAGGGCCCCACAAACAGCAATGTTATACAGACACAGTAGTAACAGACCCAGAGATGGACCACGCAGAAAATGGACTGCAGAAATATCAGAGACACTGAAGAGTACTATATACAAAACGAATAAAAGGGCCTGTTCTAGAGATCTCTTCCTCCCCTGATGCCGCCAGACATTCCAGAAGTAGAGAAAAGAAGAAGAAGAATGACAGTTTAAAGGTAGCCTCCTCATTCTTGATATACACCAAAGAGGAACAGCATTCTGTTATCCATTTTATTTATCATGCAGGGGTGAAATCTTTAAAAATACACAGGTGAATGTTGGTGCAATATGGTGATACATGCCTATCAGTCTGGCAAGCGGAATAGGACGTTTCAAAATGGCCTTAATTCTGTGACAGACTGTTTACAACCAGCTTATAGCAGGGTTTATAGTCTCTAGGCTGTAGTGAGAACATCAAAAGTTTATCCTGGGTTTTTAGTCTCCAGCTGTAGTGAGAACATCAACAGTTTATCCTGGGTTTTTGGTCTCCCGGCTTGTAGTGAGAACATCAACAGTTTATCCTGGGTTTATAGTCTCCAGGCTGTAGTGAGAACATCAACAGTTTATCCTGGGTTTATGGTCTCCTAGGCTGTAGTGAGAACATCAATTGTTTATCCTGGGTTTATGGTCTCCCGGCTTGTAGGGAGAACATCAACAGTTTATCCTGGGTTTATAGTCTCCCGGCTGTAGTGAGAACATCAACAGTTTATCCTGGGTTTATAGTCTCCAGGCTGTAGTAAGAACATCAATAGTTTATCCTGGGTTTATGGTCTCCTGGCTTGTAGTGAGAACATCAACAGTTTATCCTGGGTTTATAGTCTCCCGGCTTGTAGTGAGAACATCAACAGTTTATCCTGGGTTTATGGTCTCCAGGCTTTTAGTAAGAACATCAACAGTTTATCCTGGTTTTATGGTCTCCCAGCTTGTGAGAACATCAACAATTTATTCTGGGTTTATAGTTTCCAGGCTGTAGTGAGAACATCAACAGTTTATCCTGGGTTTATAGTCTCCAGGCTGTAGTTAGAACATCAACAGTTTATCCTGGGTTTATGGTCTCCCGGCTTGTAGTGAGAACATCAACAGTTTATCCTGGTTTTATGGTCCCCTGGCTTGTAGTGAGAACATCAACAGTTTATCCTGGTTTTATGGTCTCCCAGCTGTAGTGAGAACATCAACAGTTTATCCTGGGTTTATAGTCTCCAGGCTGTAGTGAGAACATCAACAGTTTACCCTGGGTTTATGGTCTCCAGGCTTGTAGTTAGAACATCAACAGTTTATCCTGGGTTTATAGTCTCCCGGCTTGTAGTGAGAACATCAACAGTTTATCCTGGGTTTATAGTCTCCCGGCTTGTAGTGAGAACATCAACAGTTTATCCTGGTTTTATGGTCTCCAGGCTGTAGTGAGAACATCAACAGTTTATCCTGGGTTTATAGTCCCCAGGCTGTAGTGATAATATCAACAGTTTATCCTGGGTTTATAGTCTCTAGGCTGTAGTGAGAACATCAACAGTTTATCCTGGGTTTATAGTCTCCAGGCTGTAGTGAGAACATCAACAGTTTATCCTGGTTTTATGGTCTCCCGGCTTGTAGTGAGAACATCAACAGTTTATCCTGGGTTTATGGTCTCCCGGCTTGTAGGGAGAACATCAACAGTTTATCCTGGGTTTATAGTCTCCAGGCTGTAGTGAGAACATCAACAGTTTATCCTGGTTTTATGGTCTCCCAGCTGTAGTGAGAACATCAACAGTTTATCCTGGGTTTATAGTCTCCCGGCTTGTAGTGAGAACATCAACAGTTTATCCTGGTTTTATGGTCTCCCAGCTTGTAGTGAGAACATCAACAGTTTATCCTGGGTTTATAGTCTCCCGGCTTGTAGTGAGAACATCAACAGTTTATCCTGGGTTTATGGTCCCGGCTTGTAGTGAGAACATCAACAGTTTATCCTGGGTTTATAGTCTCCCGGCTTGTAGTGAGAACATCAACAGTTTATCCTGGGTTTATAGTCTCCAGGCTTGTAGTGAGAACATCAACAGTTTATCCTGGGTTTATGGTCTCCAGGCTGTAGTGAGAACATCAACAGTTTATCCTGGGTTTATAGTCTCCCGGCTTGTAGTGAGAACATCAACAGTTTATCCTGGGTTTATAGTCTCCCGGCTTGTAGTGAGAACATCAACAGTTTATCCTGGTTTTATGGTCTCCAGGCTGTAGTGAGAACATCAACAGTTTATCCTGGGTTTATAGTCTCCAGGCTGTAGTGAGAACATCAACAGTTTATCCTGGGTTTATAGTCTCCAGGCTGTAGTGAGAACATCAACAGTTTATCCTGGGTTTATAGTCTCCAAACTGTAGTGAGAACATCAACAGTTTATCCTGGGTTAATAGTCTCCAGGCTGTAGTGAGAACATCAACAGTTTATCCTGGGTTTATAGTCTCCAGGCTGTAGTGAGAACATCAACAGTTTATCCTGGGTTTTTGGCCTCCAGGCTTGTAGTGAGAACATCAACAGTTTATCCTGGGTTTATAGTCTCCAGGCTGTAGTGAGAACATCAACAGTTTATCCTGGGTTTTTGGCCTCCAGGCTTGTAGTGAGAACATCAACAGTTTATCCTGGGTTTATAGTCTCCAGACTGTAGTGAGAACATCAACAGTTAATCCTGGGTTTTTTGCCTCCAGGCTTGTAGTGAGAACATCAACAGTTTATCCTGGGTTTATAGTCTCCCGGCTTGTAGTGAGAACATCAACAGTTTATCCTGGGTTTATAGTCTCCCAGCTTGTAGTGAGAACATCAACAGTTTATCCTAGGTTTATAGTCTCCAGGCTGTAGTGAGAACATCAACAGTTTATCCTGGGTTTATAGTCTCCTGGCTTGTAGTGAGAACATCAACAGTTTATCCTGGTTTTATGGTCTCCTGGCTTGTAGTGAGAACATCAACAGTTTATCCTGGTTTTATGGTCTCCAGGCTGTAGTGAGAACATCAATAGTTTATCCAGGGTTTATGGTCTCCCGGCTTGTAGTGAGAACATCAACAGTTTATCCTGGGTTTATGGTCTCCAGGCTGTAGTGAGAACATCAACAGTTTATCCTGGGTTTATAGTCTCCCAACTTGTAGTGAGAACATCAACAGTTTATCCTGGGTTTATAGTCTCCAGGCTGTAGTGAGAACATCAACAGTTTATTCTGGGTTTATAGTCTCCCAACTTATAGTGAGAACATCAACAGTTTATCCTGGGTTTATAGTCTCCAGGCTGTAGTGAGAACATCAACAGTTTATCCTGGGTTTATAGTCTCCCAGCTTGTAGTGAGAACATCAACAGTTTATCCTGGGTTTATAGTCTCCAGGCTGTAGTGAGAACATCAACAGTTTATCCTGGGTTTATTGTAACTGGCATTCCATTTTGTCATTGGATATTGTCAAGATGAAAATTTTGTTTATATTATTATTTGTTGCCCCACTATTTAAGCTTTTCACATGTTTTTTTTTTTTTTTTCTTCTTTTCTGACTCCTTGCTTCTCTGGCTAAGTATTTCCCCAGATGAGGCTGATTGATCAGTTCTGCCTTGTATGTTATTTACTGCATCAGTTTCATGGATTAGTTCATTGTGGCTTTATTGTCTGATATTTCATCATTGACAGCTTTCACATCCCCACAGAATTATGCTGATGGCTGGGTTCTGTCCTCCTCCTATTCTTCGCATTCACCGGCTGTAAACTGTGGTGAAAAGTTCTGGTTGCTTTTTCACATGTGAACTTGAGATGCCATGGATGCTTCATTCTGTTTCATCAGCTGACTCTTTGATACAGAGAGCATTCCACGCCCATCATTTGTCAATGAGACAATCAAGTACTGATCCATTCAGAACAGCATTTCTTTGTTTCAGGTCCATTGCTATCATTAAGTGCACCTAGTCTCTGTTGGCATCTTGCTGTAACCCTGGTCTCTGTTGGCATCTTGTTGCAACCCTGGTCTTTGTTGGCATCTTGCTGCAACCCTGGTCTCTGTTGGCATCTTGTTGCAACCCTGGTCTCTGTTGGCATCTTGCTGCAACCCTGGTCTCTGTTGGCATCTTGCTGCAACCCTAGTCTCTATTGACATCTTGCTGCAACCCTGGTCTCTTTTGGCATCTTGCTGCAACCCTGGTCTCTGTTGGCATCTTGCTGCAACCCTAGTCTCTATTGGCATCTTGCTGCAACCCTGGTCTTTGTTGGCATCTTGTTGCAACCCTGGTCTCTGTTGGCATCTTGCTGCAACCCTGGTCTCTGTTGGCATCTTGCTGCAACCCTGGTCTCTGTTGGCATCTTGCTGCAACCCTGGTCTCTGTTGGCATCTTGCTGCAACCCTGGTCTCTGTTGGCATCTTGCTGCAACCCTGGTCTCTGTTGGCATCTTGCTGCAACCCTGGTCTCTGTTGGCATCTTGCTGCAACCCTGGTCTCTGTTGGCATCTTGCTGCCACCCTGGTCTCTGTTGGCATCTTGCTGCAGCCCTAGTCTCTGTTGGCATCTTGCTGCAACCCTAGTCTCTGTTGGCATCTTGCTGCAACCCTAGTCTATGTTGGCATCTTGCTGCAACCCTGGTCTCTGTTGGCATCTTGCTGCAACCCTGGTCTCTGTTGGCATCTTGCTGCAACCCTGGTCTCTGTTGGCATCTTGCTGCAACCCTGGTCTCTGTTGGCATCTTGCTGCAACCCTGGTCTCTGTTGGCATCTTGCTGCAACCCTAGTCTCTGTTGGCATCTTGCTGCAACCCTGGTCTCTGTTGGCATCTTGGTGCAACCCTGGTCTCTGTTGGCATCTTGCTGCAAGCCTAGTCTATGTTGGCATCTTGCTGCAACCCTGGTGCTTTTTTTCCCCCCATGTATCCACAATCGTCCCAACAATTTCTCCCCCAAAAATACATCTCTCCTGCCCTCAGTTTCTTCAGCATTTCATTGGTTGTGGCAGCTGCACTGTCAGTTTTCTCTGCAGCCCCACAGCGCCCAGCTTGAGACTGCTTGTCCTGCAGTGTCCAGTGTTGTGGCAGTACAGACCATTCTATAACATACATGAGTCTGAGAGAACCATTCTATAACATACATGAGTCTGAGAGAACCATTCTATAACATAGATGAGTCTGAGAGATGCAAGGAATACTCTGTGCTATGTAGGGATTCAGAAATATGTCCTGTCAGTAGCGGTGAAGTCATGTCCCACTATTGAACCCACAAAAAAGCGATGGAATAAAAATGTTATATTTGGACCTGAATAAACGTGTACATATTGTTTTTAAATTATATAAGCCTATTTTTTCGAATGAATGTCTGTCTATTTCCTTGTTTCACTTAATTTTTCTGTTTTTTTATAAGAGTCTGTGAATATGTATGTGTATTAAGTATGCCCTTTATAACACGGCATATCTACCTGTGTGTGTTGGTGGGTAGGAAAGAAGGGGATGAATTTATGCATGTACAGTCTGTGGGTCGGGAGAAAAGAAGAAAGGAATAAGTGCATGCATAAATATGTTGTGAGAAATGGATACATCTAATAGTGTATGTCAGTTTGCAGGTAGGCATGTTTGAGGCGGCACACTTGTTATACATACACAGGCACGTATGCACTCAGTCACTCATTTTCACACACACCTGCATACACGCACATGTGCACACATGCACTCACTCACGCACTCACTCACACACACATGCGGGCATGCACACACAGAGGTATTTAGTCAGATAGTAGCAGAAACAGGTGATAGGATACCCCTGACAGACACTGATGTGGGTGCTTGTTAAGGGGAGGGGGAGGAATATTTGTAACATTTGCCTTCTCTGTTGCCTGTCCATTCCAAACTACTTGCAGAAAATTCGGGGGGGGGGGGGGGGGGGGGGGGGGGAATTACTTGGTGCTCATTTTACGAGGATTGGTCACAACCATTGGAAAAGTCTAGCCACTTGTGTATGGATTGTGTCTTTTCATGTGTGAGCTGTTGCTTTTAGTGAATGGATATGCATTTGTAGATTTTGTCTTTTCATGTGTGAGCTGTTTCTTATAGTGAATGGATATGGATTGTGTCTTTTCATGTGTGAGCTGTTGCTTATAGTGAATGGATGTGGATTTGTAGATTGTGTCTTTTTATGTGTGAGCTGTTGCTTATAGTGAATGGATGTGGATTTGTAGATTGTGTCTTTTCATGTGTGAGCTGTTGCTTATAGTGAATGGATGTGGATTTGTAGATTGTGTCTTTTTATGTGTGAGCTGTTTCTTATAGTGAATGGATGTGGATTGTGTCTTTTCATGTGTGAGCTGTTGCTTTTAGTGAATGGATGTGGATTTGTAGATTGTGTCTTTTCATGTGTGAGCTGTTTCTTATAGTGAATGGATATGGATTTTGTCTTTTCATGTGTGAGCTGTTGCTTATAGTGAATGGATGTGGATTTGTAGATTGTCTTTTTATGTGTGAGCTGTTGCTAATAGTGAATGGATGTGTTTTGCTGTGTATGATTTATGTTTTCGTATGAAATATGCTTTTGGACATACAGACTGTGTCACTAGAGGTGAATGGATGTTTGTGTGTGTCCAGCAATTATATCTCAGTACGTATATATTCTGTCTGTACAAATGTGATTTATCGCTGCTGACATAGAATAAATGCCTTCCTATATAGGGATTGTGTCTTGGTGTACGTAGGTGGTGTCTTTCATGATTCTGTTAGCCTGTTTGTGAGTCTGTAAATAGAAACAATTAGCACCTGTTGAATGTGGTTGTTGATTTATTGTTGATTTTTTAACATTGCCACCATGCTGTTCGCTGGGTCTTTTTGGGACAACTTCGACGAAACACTTCGATTTAATGCTGGGATGTTTTCATGTTATGTATATATTCACATTTTTAGAACATGTTTTCAAGTTGTGTATGTTTTAAATGTTAATCAACTGGATGCCTGATGGTTTCAATAAAATCAATGGAATTTGAACACACTAAAATATTTTTTTTCTTGCTTCACTTTGTTAATGTTTGAAAAAAGTCATGAAGCAAACATTGGTCCAGGGATACAGCCACAGTGGGATGGTACAGGGATACAGCCACAGTGAGATGGTACAGGGATACAGCCACAGTGAGATGGTACAGGGATACAGCCACAGTGAGATGGTACAGGGATACAGCCACAGTGAGATGGTACAGGGATACAGCCACAGTGAGATGGTACAGGGATACAGCCACAGTGAGATGGTACAGGGATACAGCCACAGTGAGATGGTACAGGGATACAGCCACAGTGAGATGGTACAGGGATACAGCCACAGTGAGATGGTACAGGGATACAGCCACAGTGAGATGGTACAGGGATACAGCCACAGTGAGATGGTACAGGGATACAGCCACAGTGAGATGGTACAGGGATACAGCCACAGTGAGATGGTACAGGGATACAGCCACAGTGAGATGGTACAGGGATACAGCCACAGTGAGATGGTACAGGGATACAGCCACAGTGAGATGATACAGGGATACAGCCACAGTGAGATGGTACAGGGATACAGCCACAGTGAGATGGTACAGGGATACAGCCACAGTGAGATGGTACAGGGATACAGCCACAGTGAGATGGTACAGGGATACAGCCACAGTGAGATGGTACAGGGATACAGCCACAGTGAGATGGTACAGGGATACAGCCACAGTGAGATGGTACAGGGATACAGCCACAGTGAGATGGTACAGGGATACAGCCACAGTGAGATGGTACAGGGATACAGCCACAGTGAGATGGTACAGGGATACAGCCACAGTGAGATGATACAGGGATACAGCCACAGTGGGATGACTAGTTTGCTGATTGCCTGCTTACCACAGAGCTTTCAAAACTGTTTATATTGATGACACGCAGAATTTCACGACACAGTAATTTAGCTCATGAGCAAGCCACTTCACAGTTTACAAACATCACTTTACAGTTTACAAACACCACTTTACAGTTTACAAACATCACTTTACAGTTTACAAACACCACTTTACAGTTTACAAACACCACTTTACAGTTTACAAACACCACTTTACAGTTTACAAACATCACTTTACAGTTTACAAACACCACTTTACAGTTTACAAACATCACTTTACAGTTTACAAACACCACTTTACAGTTTACAAACACCACTTCACAGTTTACAAACACCACTTTACAGTTTACAAACACCACTTTACAGTTTACAAACATCACTTTACAGTTTACAAACACCACTTTACAGTTTACAAACATCACTTTACAGTTTACAAACATCACTTTACAGTTTACAAACACCACTTTACAGTTTACAAACACCACTTTACAGTTTACAAACACCACTTTACAGTTTACAAACATCACTTTACAGTTTACAAACACCACTTTACAGTTTACAAACATCACTTTACAGTTTACAAACACCACTTTACAGTTTACAAACACCACTTCACAGTTTACAAACACCACTTTACAGTTTACAAACACCACTTTACAGTTTACAAACATCACTTTACAGTTTACAAACACCACTTTACAGTTTACAAACATCACTTTACAGTTTACAAACATCACTTTACAGTTTACAAACACCACTTTACAGTTTACAAACATCACTTCACAGTTTACAAACACCACTTCAGTTGACTTTGTTTATTCGAGTTCAGCGACACAGGTAGACACTTTCTCATCACAGACAGACATTTTGTCTCTACATCATTCGCAATGTATTGGTAACCAACATTCCTTTCTTCCTAACATTTCTCACCTTGTTTACATCAGACACGGATCTGTAACAAGGCAACGCAGTTGTTTGCCTTTATAACTGATCTGTCACCAGGCAACGCAGTTGTTTGCCATTATAACTGATCTGTCACCAGGCAAGGCAGTTGTTTTCCATTATATGATAATATTTTCTAAACAAGCAGACGAGAATTAAATCCATACTGGACAAACCTGGTCCCAGTGTGGATTCCTAGGGCACAATTTTAGGGGAAATCAGAACAGACCCACTGCTCAAAAGGAGACTACTGGCGGTTGTTTTCTTCAACGTCGGAGTGCAGCTGCCTCAGAGGTCAGCAAACAGCAGTCATACAAATAAGCCAGATCTGTCAAACAGATGTGCACGCAAAACTTTAATTCTGGAACAAAACTTAGGTCCAGAATTGGGGGAGAAACCAGCCGGTGAAGAAGAAGAAGAGGAGGAGGAGGAAGAAGAAGAAGAAGAAGAAATTCAAACATGCCTATACTGTAGATGCCAGGTACACGCCTACACACAAGAGGTACAAATTTATAATGAACACAGGAGGTACAAGTTTGTAATGAACACAGGAAGTACAAGTTTATAATGAACACAGGAGGTACAATATAATGTAAACAGGTAGTAAACGCACGTACACGCGACATACTAGTCTAATGAACAATGTTGTACACGCGCTAACACACTTCCTAACACGATCTTCGTACATTTAACAGCACAAAGACAAGTGTATTTGTTCATGCAGGGAAATAAGCTACTTCATGTTTGGATAGTATAGCAGGGATAAGTGGACATGCAGGGATAAGTGGGTTGCAGGGATAAGTGGACTGGCTTTACTAAGTGGACATGCAGGGATAAGTGACTTGCCTGGGAAGGGACATGCAGGGATAAGTGGACTGCAGGGATATTGGACATGCAGGGATAAGTTAGTGGAACACAGGGATAAGTGGACATGCAGGGATAAGTGGACATGCAGGGATAAGATTTTGCAGGGATAAGTGGTGCAGGGATAAGTGGACATGCAGGGATAAGTGGACATGCAGGGATAATGGACACATGCAGGGATAAGTGGACATGCAGGGATAAGTGGACATGCAGGGATAAGTGGACATGCAGGGATAAGTGGACATGCAGGGATAAGTGGACATGCAGGGATAAGTGGACATGCAGGGATAAGTGGGATGCAGGGGATAAGGACATGCAGGGATAAGTGGACTTGAGGGGGGATAAGTGGACATGATAAGGGATAAGTAAGTGGACATGCAGGGATAAGTGGACTTGAGGGGATAAGTGGACATGCAGGGATAAGTGGACATGCAGGGATAAGTGGACATGCAGGGATAAGTGGACATGCAGGGATAAGTGGACATGCAGGGATAAGTGGACATGCAGGGATAAGTGGACTTGCAGGGATAAGTGGACATGCAGGGATAAGTGGACATGCAGGGATAAGTGGACATGCAGGGATAAGTGGACTTGAGGGGATAAGTGGACTTGAGGGGATAAGTGGACATGCAGGGATAAGTGGACATGCAGGGATAAGTGGACATGCAGGGATAAGTGGACATGCAGGGATAAGTGGACATGCAGGGATAAGTGGACATGCAGGGGATAAGTGGACTTGCAGGGATAAGTGGACTTGAGGGGATAAGTGGACATGCAGGGATAAGTGGACATGAGGGATAAGTGGACTTGCAGGGATAAGTGGACATGCAGGGATAAGTGGACTTGAGGGGATAAGTGGACATGCAGGGATAAGTGGACTTGCCGGGATAAGTGGACATGCAGGGATAAGTGGACTTGAGGGGATAAGTGGACATGCAGGGATAAGTGGACTGAGGGGATGAGGGGATAAGTGGACTTAAGGGATAAGTGGACTTGAGGGGATAAGTGGACATGCAGGGATAAGTGGACTTGAGGGATAAGTGGACTTGCAGGGATAAGTGGACTTGCAGGGATAAGTGGACTTGAGGGGATAAGTGGACTTGAGGGGATAAGTGGACATGCAGGGATAAGTGGACTTGCCGGGATAAGTGGACTTGCAGGGATAAGTGGACTTGAGGGGATAAGTGGACATGCAGGGATAAGTGGACTTGAGGGGATAAGTGGACATGCAGGGATAAGTGGACATGCAGGGATAAGTGGACTTGAGGGGATAAGTGGACATGCAGGGATAAGTGGACATGCCGGGATAAGTGGACGTGCAGGGATAAGTGGACTTGGAATAAGTGGACATGCAGGGATAAGTGGACATGCAGGGATAAGTGGACGTGCAGGGATAAGTGGACATGCAGGGGATAAGTGGACATGCAGGGATAAGTGGACAAGGGATAAGTGGACATGCAGGGATAAGTGGACATGCAGGGGATAAGTGGACATGCAGGAATAAGTGGATATGCAGGGATAAGTGGACATGCGGGGATATGTTGACATGCGGGGATAAGTGGACATGCAGGGATAAGTGGACATGCAGGGATAAGTGGACATGCAGGGATAAGTGGACATGCAGGGATAAGTGGACATGCAGGGATAAGTGGACTTGCGGGGATAAGTGGACATGCAGGGATAAGTGGACATGCAGGGATAAGTGGACATGCAGGGATAAGTGGACTTGAGGGGATAAGTGGACATGCAGGGATAAGTGGACATGCAGGGATAAGTGGACATGCAGGGATAAGTGGACATGCAGGGATAAGTGGACTTGACGGGATAAGTGGACATGCAGGGATAAGTGGACTTGAGGGGATAAGTGGACTTGCAGGGATAAGTGGACTTGAGGGGATAAGTGGACTTGCCGGGATAAGTGGACGTGCCGGGATAAGTGGACATGCAGGGATAAGTGGACTTGCAGGGATAAGTGGACATGCAGGGATAAGTGGACTTGCAGGGATAAGTGGACTTGAGGGGATAAGTGGACTTGAGGGGATAAGTGGACATGCAGGGATAAGTGGACATGCAGGGATAAGTGGACATGCAGGGATAAGTGGACTTGCCGGGATAAGTGGACGTGCAGGGATAAGTGGACATGCAGGGATAAGTGGACTTGCAGGGATAAGTGGACTTGAGGGGATAAGTGGACTTGCAGGGATAAGTGGACATGCAGGGATAAGTGGACTTGCAGGGATAAGTGGACATGCAGGGATAAGTGGACATGCAGGGATAAGTGGACATGCAGGGATAAGTGGACATGCAGGGATAAGTGGACATGCAGGGATAAGTGGACATGCAGGGATAAGTGGACATGCAGGGATAAGTGGAATGCAGGGATAAGTGGAGTGCCAGGATAAGTGACATGCAGGGATAAGTGGACATGCAGGGATAAGTGGACATGCAGGGATAAGTGGACATGCAGGGATAAGTGGACATGCAGGGATAAGTGGACATGCAGGGATAAGTGGACATGCAGGGATAAGTGCAGGGATAAGTGGACATGCAGGGATAAGTGGACTTGCAGGGATAAGTGGACATGCAGGGATAAGTGGACATGCAGGGATAAGTGGACATGCAGGGATAAGTGGACATGCAGGGATAAGTGGACATGCAGGGGATGCAGGGATAAGTGGACATGCAGGGATAAGTGGACATGCAGGGATAAGTGGACTTGAGGGGATAAGTGGACATGCAGGGATAAGTGGACATGCAGGGATAAGTGGACATGCAGGGATAAGTGGACATGCAGGGATAAGTGGACATGCAGGGATAAGTGGACTTGCAGGGATAATAAGTGGACATGCAGGGATAAGTGGACATGCGGGGGATAGTGGGATGCAGGGATAAGTGGACTTGAGGGGGGATAAGTGGACAGTGCATGGGATAAGTGGACGTGCGGGATAAGTGGACTTGAGGGATAAGTGACATGCAGGGATAAGTGGACGTGCAGGGATAAGTGGACTTGCAGGGATAAGTGGACATGCAGGGATAAGTGGACATGTGGACATGGGATAAGTGGACATGCAGGGATAAGTGGACATGCAGGGATAAGTGGACGTGCAGGGATAAGTGGACTTGCAGGGGATAAGTGGACAGTGCAGGGATAAGTGGACTTGCAGGGATAAGGGACGTGCAGGGATAAGTGGACATGAGGGGATAAGTGGACGTGCAGGGATAAGTGGACTT